AAAAAAAAAAAAAAAAAAAAAATCTAACTTGCGAACCTCCGAGGGCTTCGAGGCATATCATGGGCGAATCCGTATAGTGTGTCAGAGTCGAGAAAGCCACCGGCGCCATGTGGGATGGCCCTTCTGTACTTGCAGCTTCCGATCAGATTGAAGTTAGCATAAGTCTGATTACTTGCATATAAATCTCCAAGACCAACCAAGATATCATCACGTTTCATGATGTGTAATATGTCATAGACAATATCAATTGTTGCAGCAGTTGCCCATCCAGTTGGGGTCACGAGTATTGCCTGGGTAGAAAACCGTGGTGTATGCATGCAGGTTAATTGATGATGTCGTAGATTTTATTGTGTGATCTCAATGCGGTTGAATTGGGAATATTGACAAGTTGTGGTGGAAGTTTGATCATTTTTTTAAATATTTAATCAGTACAATATATGGGGCGGGTCACGATTGCAATATTTCTTTTTGAGATACTGACTTATTCGACTGCTTTTTGTATATATGCCAGCAAGTCGAAGATCATGAAAACTAATTCACCTGAAATCTCGATGCACTTAGCAAAAAGCAGAGAGGGAGTGTAAATAAATTTGTATGATAGATGAACGGAGAAAGAAAAAGCTATATATGTAGCAAAACTGATAAAAATATTAGGAAAGGTTTCTTTACCTTAAGATATATTACTTCAGTTGGTACTTTGAGTAGATAAATGAGGGCCAGAAAATCTCCAGGACTCATATCCATGTCGAATACAACTGTTTTCCCTAGCTTTCTTCCCTTAAAATCTGGCACGTTAGTTGCTTCCCGGTAGTGAGGAAATTGTGTCGTATAATTGAACCTTCCTGTTTGATGTGGCCGGTTTATGACCTGAAATAGTCACTGTTTTTTATAGAACAGAAATGAATGTGTACTAAAACGACAATGTGAGGTTTGGTGTTCAGTAGTGCAGGTTTTCCATACGAACAGAGGATATAAGATTAATAGTTTTCATGTTGTAAATTGAGTTGTACTCGCCTGATTGCGTAAAAAAGGCAGTGGGATGATGGTTGAAAAAATGAACTTCTACGTCAAGACCTTGCATGTTTGGATACTTAGAGCTTTTTCACAGGACCTACTTCTTGTCTAGACATTTTTGCTACATCACTAAATACACGAACACTATTTGTGCAATTTTAGCCATTTTTATGAATGGTCGATTCTTATTAGGACATAAGGGACATGATAAGCAAGCATAGTATTTATTTTTTACTCACATCAAGAAAGTTTTTGTAGAATGCTTTGTTCAATTTGCTATGTTTATCTGGGTTGGGCTTTGCTCTTACTAGGACATAAGGGACATGATAAGCAAGCATAGTATTTATTTTTTACTCACATCAAGAAAGTTTTTGTAGAATGCTTTGTTCAATTTGCTATGTTTATCTGGGTTGGGCTTTGCTCTTACGGCCAAACGAACGCGTACCCCTTCTGGACCCGTTACTACTTGTGTGTCTCCATCCTAAATATATATTTTGAAAGTCAACATAAGAGCTAGAAAGCAAGAATTATTTTTTTTTTTAATAAAAAGGCGAAAGTTGAAAAAAGAAACAATAACCTTGCAACCATTTTGAGCAATGCAAAATGGATCCCCTGGTCCAGTCACAATGTGACCACTGTGGATACCCTTTCTCATCAAGTTGAATCTTGGTTTCTTAAGGCCATCAAATAATGGATTTGAGCCGTCGGATGTCCCATACGGCTCGTTCGAAGTAATGACCGTTATAGTCTTGTACTCCATTTCTGCAAATTCGTTTTCGCCGTTTGTGTTGTTTTGCTTGAGCATAATTGAAGTAGCCACCCCGGCCAAAAATGAATCCCACATGAAGAAAATCTGTTTCAGAATTACTTTTTGTACTTAAAAAAAGTTGCAACAAAGCAAAACCGTTACAACAAAAGTTGTTGTGTTCCCATCACACTTACTTGAGAAAAATGAGGGGTTGTGTACCAAGTATCACATATCATTTTCAAGGCATTGAAACAGTATTGTGCCTCAAGGGTGTGCTGTTGCTTCTCAAATTCTTGCATAAATTCTGTAGTGATGGGTATAGTGTCTGTTGCGTCCAGTGGGATAAGAGTAATTGGAATCCCTGAGTGGATCACCTGTTGCATTAAAAATTGATCTCCATCATGTGAAAATACTTATTAATAGCTCATTTTTAGTGAAAAATCTAATGATTAATTTTTTTATCAACTAATAAAATTTACCTCTGATGAACTGTAAGATTCCAAATTTAATCAAGTTAAAATTGGGAAAAAATCTTTTTCACCAATACAAAAATACATTAAGTTTTTCACACCGCCCAATAAAAAACTAAGTTTTTCGCCCTGGAAAGTGCGAAGGTTATGCGAATGGACTGCATAACTGTCGCATATCAATTGCATAACTGTCGCATATTCATCGCACAACGCATTCGCACTTTAACTTTTTTCCACTCCAGAAAGTGCGAAGGGATATGCGAATGCTTCGCACTTTTAACTTTCGCATAATGTCATCGCGCAATTGTCGCTTATTCATCGCACAATGTCTTTCGCACTTTTTGGGGTGAAAAATTTAGCTTTTTATTGGCCGGTGTGAAAAACTTAGCATGATTTCAAAACGGGGTGAAAACAACTATTTTCACAATTTATATTACCAACTGAAGTACCAAAATTGAATTTCTAATTTATTATTTATATTGCATATTTTCATACCTGATAAGCAGCGAAAGGGTCACTAAAGAAGTTGTACTCTGCATTAGGAGCCGTATTGTCACCTGTGTAGACATTACCAGTAGGGCACGATGAGGTAGAGATTGTCGGACAGTTGACCTGCCTGGGTCCCAGGCCACCACCCATGAGGTATATATGTTGGATGTTTTTCTTCAAGTGTGGGTTAGACATTAGAAACAATGCCAAATTTGTAGGTGTTCCACCACAAAATACTATGATTGAACCAGCAGATATTTTGTCCATCAGTATTTGTTGAGTTGTAGGTTGTTGTAGAGGTAAGTATTGCCTGTTTGCCTGCTTTCAAAGAAAACAAAAATGAAACAAAATTAACACGAATATATTTTAGAAAAGTTTCTAAAGTATTGTTGTTCCGAAAATCGAACCGAAATCACTCCAAGATAGAAAAATATCCACTGATTATTTGACTTTATCCTAACCTAACCGAACCGTAAGGTTCTAGAGATTTTATAAAGAAATGTACAGCGAACTTAACCATCTCATACCGTACCAACCGAAGAACTTAAATTAAGAAAAGATATATAACATTATATGTGTCTTAGATTTTATCCTATATAATTGGGTATTTATAAAATACTTAATAACATGTAGTAATAATAATTACATTTCACTAAAACTTATATACTTAATAATACTAGGAAGATGCAAATATTAATTTTTTTTACTCAAAATTATTTTTATTATATATTTAATTTAATAGCACAATATAATTTTGTTGTCATTATTTAACAAAAAATTGTGTATTTTATGATAAAATATAAAATTTAATACTATTAACAGAACTCTATGACAAATAAAATTAAATAAAAAATATTGGTTAGAAAATCTAAAATAAAATTAATATTTTTTTTTTAATTTGAAATGCTGAAGAAATCTATGTCGTCCTTGATTTTGTTATTTAGTGATATCATCCTTATGCTTAAAATAATGATCATTATTATTGTGAAAATAATATCTTTTTTAATGTCTTCCTTTTGTGTCTTATTATTTGAATAATAACTCGAATTTACTATAACTATAATTTGTAATTATCATTTGCTTATTGTTGATTGGAAGCTGACACTGTGGTTGAATGTTTCGTTCTCTATTATTTTGATTATTTTGATTATAACGGTTGCAAATTCAATTATATTTGCACGTGTAATATTTTGTAATATTTAGATATATATTTTCTCTCTGTATATAATGATATAAGAGATATAAATATTTGAAAATATTTTTAAAGTTGTAAATATTTAAAAAACAATTACTTGAAATTAGGAACAATAACATCCTTGATTGATTAAAGGTTCCCATCTATCTATATATAATGTTGTAACATTGGTTAATTGAAGGTGCTTATCTATATATATTGTCCAAAATAAATTATTGTTACAATTATCATTTTCGTTCATGGATTTTCAAGACTATCTAAAAAGTGACAAAAATAATAATTCTATTTTAAATAAATTGTAAAATCATGATTCTTTCATATTTTACTTTTATCTTAGCATTATTTTATATATTTGTCAATATTTTTACAAGGTTTATGTTTCCTAGTTTTAAGAAGTGATTTGAAAAATTAAATTTATCTATTATTTATAATAAGATAGTATATTGAAATAAATTTAAAGTAAATGTAATATTTATTTTTATTTAATTAATTATAATTATTATAACTATATATTTTCTAACAAGTACACATATTTTGAAATTCAAGATTTTGAAACTGAGTATTACTAATTTTATTTAATTTTTTTTTAATTACTATATTTTGATTTCTATAACAATTAAAGTAAATAGTAGATTAATTTATGTAACACATATTACCATAAAAGAACATTTTTACTGTACATAAGATAAAGTTAAATTGTATCATGCATATATTTTAATGTATAATTTAAACAAAGTATTTTTATTAAAACTATATATTTGCACTTAACTAATATTTTTTTTCCATAAAACATTGATATTTTATTATGTTGAATAACTATTTTTAATACTAAGAAAAATGAATGAAAAAAATAGCATACAAACATTTTAATACATTAATATTTAAAAAATTAATTAAAAAAATAACATACAAATATTTGGTAAATAATAAAAAACAATGAGAACCATAAGTTAATTGAATAATATATTTATAACAAAATAATACAATAAGAATAAAAAAGATTAATTCATTATGACGTTGGAAAAAAACCAGTTAAATAGATAAATGTTTGGTTTCAATAAAAGGTTAGTTCAATTGATTATTTATTTTTTTTTAATTTTTTTATTGACTTTGCATTACAAGAATTTTTAATATTTGTACAGAAAAAAAATCTTACTTTTGTAGTTGTGCCAATACATTCATTTAAAAATTTGGATACCGGTCAATTTTTTTTTTCAGTAGATTAATATCACAAAAAATTATTAATTATAATATACACAAGGAATATTATAAGAAAAAATTGAGTACTATGTCATGACATTCATGATTAAAACATCAAAATATGATTTAAAACGTTTTATTTGAAATTATTTGAAACAATTTTATATTAAGTCATGTGTTTTAATATTTCAGTTATTCTAATTAAAATTTAAATTATTTCAGTTATTCTAATTAAAATTTAAATTTTTATTTGACAATTTTTATTGTTTATATTACAAGTAATAAATGTATTTGGAATAAGACATAAGATAAATTTTTGGAAGTAACATAATATAATACTTTTAGAAGTAACATTATTTTTTATTGGGGGTAGTAGTGACATTTCAAATTTTATTTCAATGTGGTTGGATGAGATATTAATGAAGTTACATTATTACATTTATGTCCTTAAATGGTAAAACTTTAGAGGGTAATATGGGCATTTCAAAATTTTCAAGAAATAACTCATCCTTTTAAGGGAGTTATAGATATAGATTTATATACAACTTTAACAACACGCTATTTATATTACAATTTTTGATAATTTTTTGATCTTATTCCATTTTATAGTTAAAATTATATTGAAAAAAATAGAAAAATAATTAAAAAATATTATATTTGTTTTGGATTTCAAATTTTTATCATTAGTTGTACAAATTTATTCTCAAATAAATTATGAGTTATTTCTAAATTTTCTGAAGTTGATTTCAAAATAGAAATTTTAATATGGTCAAATATTAATGAATTTTTGAATTTTAATACACCAAAATTTAAATATAATTAGTTAGTCATGCATAAAAACATTGAAAAATAGTTATAATCTCTAACTTAACAAAAATTATCTTAATCATTTTGATGGTCCCGAATCCCAAATGTACAAGTATATGTAAATTTAGTCGTGGATGCTGAGTAATTTACACCTAGGAGCATTTCCTTAATACACTTTTAAAAAAAAATACTTATATTCTTAGAGTAACTCAACATTTCTTTTGTATCCAAATAATATAAATTTAAATTAGGGTAAAAAATGAACATAAAATTTAAATTGTTACCTGGGGAAGAAATTGTTTTCGGAAACCATATATTGTGTCGATGTCTAGTTTTCCTCGCAGGCCTAAAGGAATAACCTGACTATATCTGCAGTATCCTGTTGTACCATAACCCTGATCAAATGATTCAAAAGAATGAGACAGACATTACTTGATTATCTCATGAAGTGGCAATGCATGGGTTATATTGTACTATAGAAATCCAAAAACTACTTAGATTGCCAATTCCATCAAAATGCATGAATGTCTAGTGAGCAAATATTAACTATTATATAGTTGCATTGTTTGTACAAGACAACTTCTTTCCTTGTAAATACCGATTTTCTTTTCATTGTAAACAGCAACTTCTCTTGTAATAGTCCAATATAAATTGGCATTAAGTTTACTCTGTAATTCAATAATTCCTTTTCATAGATATCTCAGTGAATACATCTCCTTTTATGGTTCTCTGAAAACTGATGTGTATAGAGCGAGATTCCTCAAGCTTAGCTTGATTTGCGCTTTCATTTAACTACCCCAATGAATTATAATCGATTTTTCTTTTTCTATTTGAATCCCACTCTAACATCCCTCTTAATCTCCAGAAAATCAGAACCTTTGTTTCGCTTTTCCTTTTCCATTTACTGATGCCTACTGCATTCACAAAATTTGCATACATTATATGGCCTCTAAATGTACTATCTTTTCGTTTGATGATCCGTCCTCACCCTATTTCTTATTTTCAAGTGATATTCAAGGGGATGTCATAGTCGTTGCACCAAAGATAACTATAGTTATGTGTTTTCATCAAGCAAAGTTCGTATGGCACTCAGTGTAAAAATAATTATGTCTCTTTGTCGATCGTACCATCTCTAGCCCAAACATTACTATTGCTCATGTTGAGTATCTTTCTTGGGATCGTACAAACATCATTATCCTAAATTGGCTTATGAATTCCATTTTAAAGGATACTCGACATTGTTTACTTTTTTCCTATTGCAAAAGAAATGTGGGATGAAATTAAACTAAAACTAGATCAAGGATCTCTATCACACGTTTAAAACATAGGAGATAAACAAATCCTCGATATATTGAACCCAAATTACAAACTCGTTTCGAAGTGTTCAATATTAAAAGTTGAGTTTGACTATGATCCACACTCACTTTAATAAGAAAATTAAGATCCTTAGATTTTACTATGGAACTGAGTTTCTATCACATGATTTTTAAGCTAAACATGGTATAATACACAAAGAGAACTATGCTGAATCACCACAACAATGTGGTAGGACAGAAAGAAAATATAAAACACCTTTTACAAGTTTCTTTACCTTTACATTTTTGGCTAGATTTCACTCTGATTCACATACTGTAAATAGACCACCACCCAATATTCAAAATAACCAATCTCCATATTAATCTGTATAACCATGCACCTACATATGTTCATAAAAAAATCAATGGTTGTTTATGTTACTCTTCTACTAGAGCTCCCATAAATGTTATCTTTTATGAATATTTCCTTTTCACTCTAATAACTCAATCCATTTTTTCCTCTCACTCATCTTTTCAATTATATTCACTTCAAACTAAATAAGCATACAAATAACACTGACAGAAACACACATTTTCCACCTGCCCAAAGTACATTTATTTTGCTCGAGGTTACATCAACCACGGTTTTTACCCTAAAAAACCCTTAAAATAAGATCAACAGAACCAAGACAACCACCTCTTACCTCAGCTTTTATGAATATAATCTTTTAAACAGCTATTTGAATTTCACTGCTACCCAAACATGTGATTACATTTTTGGAACAGTTCCAGGAAAAAAAAAAATCTTTATCCAATTGAGTCATGTATATCTACTGCATCGTTGCCACCCTCTTATAGTTATTTCACTGCTCTTACATCCCTTAACCTTGAACCAAAAACTTATAGACAGACTGTTAAAGATCCTTATGGAAAAAAGCTACAATAAAGAAATTAAAGCACTTGAATCCACTAGTAATTCGTAACTTACACACAAGAATAAGGTATAGATTATTTTGAAACATTTTCCTCTATTGCCAAAATTATCACTAACAGGTTTCTCCTTGCTCTTGCATCCATTTGAAATTAGCACTTGCACCAACTTGATATTAACAATGTTTTTCATCATGATGATTCCAGTATAGAGATGGATATGACTCCACCTCTTGGATATACCCCTTATAAACTAGAATTTGTAAATTGCTAAAAAGTATTTATGATTTAAAACAACCCTCTAGACATTGGTGTCAAAAGTTAACATCCTACTCGATTATTGTATATGTCAACCTGTTTCAGATTATTCTCTATTCACTATGAAAACGTATTTCTCTTTTACTGCCAGATCAGTATATGTTGATGATATTATCATAGCGGGTATAACATACATGCCCTTCATGATATCCTAAGTCATTTGGATGATAAATTCACCATTAAATATCTTGGAACCTTAAACTGTATTATGGGCAGAGAAGTTGTTTATTCTCATAAAGGCATCACTCATTGTCAAAGAAAATATGCATTGGATATACTACTGGATACATGATACCTTCATTGTAACCTTACTAATACTCCCATAGACATAAATATCAAATTCCTATTGAGTCTAATAATGATAAACTGGTTAAGGGTGGTTAAGGGTACTACACATAGAAATTAATAGGGAGATTTTAACATCTCACTATCAGAGACCGGATATTTCATATAGAATTCCAAACACTAAGTCGGTTCATGTCCAAACCTACTCAAGATCATCTCAAAGCTACTCCTAGGATTCCCAGGCATATAAAGTCACTATTGTATATATTCTATCCCATGACACTCTTCTTTACATTTGACAACATATATTAATAGTAATTGGGACAGTTGTCTTGACACAAGATTATAATGGGTTATTCCATTTTTTGCATAATCCACCCATTTGTTGAAAAACTAAATGACACCTAAATGTCGCCAAAAGTTTAGTTCAGCATAACATTGGGCTATTGTATCCACTCATTGTGATATTCAGTGGTTGCTTTATTAGCTTTTATATTTTCATATTTTTCATAATTCTTATGTTCTCCTACTTTCAGATAGTAAATCCGCCATTCCCTTATGTAACAATCCAGTTTTTTCTTAAGAGAAGAGAACAACGGATATTCAAAAAGAATGCCATCCAGTGAGGGAAAAGATTGCACAAGGGCTTATTAAACTTCAACCCATTTCCACCAAATGATTGCAGACATTCTAACAAAACCTCTTGGTGTTCAACGTTTTCAGTACATTTCAACCAAGATGAACATGGCTAACAACCATGCTCCTCTTGTATGGGTATATTAACTATTATACCATTTCATTATTAGTTTAACACGACCTTTTTCCCTATTTTTTAGTCATTGTAAATAGCAACTTCTCTTACATATTCCAATATAAATAGACATCGGGTTTTCCGTGTAAATAAACAACTCTTTCACGCAGCCTTCACTGCGAATACATCTCCTTTTTATGGATTCTTAGAAAAATTACAGCAACAAAGTTCTTTTTTTTCTTTTTACTGTTTTACATTTTGTTTACTTGGCATGAAAAAAGAGTGAGTGAGATATAACTAGTACGTGTACAAAATGACATGGGGAATTTCAATATTAGATACAAGAATATTGACCTGATCGACTATAGGAAGATATCCGCCAACACTTGGAAGTATGGTACCATCATTGAGTATTCCACCTTCACCTCCTATCCCAACAGCAATATCATCTCGTCCCATCATGTAAAGAAGGTCGTAAATTTGATTCACGGCATGCCCCGCATTTGTCCATCCATTTGTGCTTATAGTAATTGCCTGCAATAAGCCTTACACATAATATCAGGTATTTGTACCTCAACAGTCACACTTCACATATTATAATAGTGTTACATTAGTTGATACAAAATTTGATCCATGTACCTCGTGTTTTATGTAAGGCCCTATTATTTAAGCTATATTTTTATGAACTTTATAATATTATTATTATCAGTATTATTATATGCTAGTTTATTATTGTCATGGATTATACGTTATTTCAAATGTTTACAAAACTAATGTTGGGCCGAGTAAAGTAAGTACTTTGGATATAGTATTATTTATACAAATTATTTTGAGGTACGTATTATTAAAAGGCCAATAATAGTGGAAGATGCTACGGTCCCGTTACGGAATCGGGTTTCTAACCGTTAGATCAACTATCTCTGACGGTTACATGATGATATAACGAACGGTTAGAAACTCCGACGGAATGGTACCTTAACACTTCCCAATAATAATATTTATTCATTTGAAATATAAAACTAGGCACAAAATGTTATACTCGTTGTATGAACCTTTTCGAAACAATAGCATTTACGAGTTTATTATACGAGTCAACGACTTTATAAAATAGTTATATATATAACAATGAACTACAAGTATTGGGATTTTAGTTGTGAATCCAACCCGTTGGGAAAAGTAGAAGAGAGTATTACTGTTGGACTTGGGACAGTTTTTTCTTAATCCTACAGTACCTACATATATGCAGATATATTCTCTACTTAGCCAAATTCTTCTTCTAAGAATCCAAACAACCGGTCATCAAGCCATTAGTACACAAAAATAACTAAAACCAAATCAATTTTGACCCACAATTAAATTAGATGCAATTGTCAGACCATAGTCTGATTAGCCATCACTGCCTTATCATTTTTTTTTGGTGCAAAGAAAGAGGCCTAAGGCCTAAGCTAGAACTCTACGGGGGTACGACACCCCACAAATGTCATGATCAAGCCAAGATCCCAATCCCGCCGGG